AATAAAGCGACAGGCCGGCTGGTACACTCCCTTCCACATCCTAATGACTTAACCAACCAACCTAACAGTGAAAAAACTTAAAACACAACAAATAGTCTCGCAGCACCTTAGAGACTCACAAAACCTGTAGATGGGATCATGAGCTTTCATGGGTACAACCCACTTCTCCAGATGACAACCTAAGTCGGGGTACTTACGGAGGTGCAAATTGTTCTTATCAGCCTCTTGTCACTTGAACAATCTAATTCACTACTTTTTTTCCTCTCTTTTTTTCTTTTCCCCCTTCCTTCCTCTCCTCCCCCTGCCGCTGCCTTTCCTTGTTTATTTTTGGATCCGGACTTTTAACACTCCAGTCATCTGAAGATGTGGGTGGTGCCCACGGAAGCTCATGATCCTCTGTACGTGTTTTGTTAGTCTTTAAGGTGCTGCTAGATTGTTCATTGCTTTTAAAATTTTTCCAGTTACAGACTAACTCGGCCACCCCGCTGAGGCTTTTTACTGTAAGGAACCGTAAATCCAAGTCAAACAAGTTCTCAAGCAGCCATCCCCTTCCTCTGCCTTGCTGGATGTTTCACTTCTCACAGATGGAGCACCTGGCGCGTGGGTTCGTGTGCGGAGGGAGAGGGTGAAATTGACATTTCCTGACATCTCTCCCCTCCAAGCAGCCCTAGCCACCCGGGCCTTTCCCACAGGGACAGGTCTCGATTCCCCCTCCCCAGCTCACAAAACTGCCGGCGGGGTTCCCGGCAGAGCCAGCCCGGATTGAGATGCACCGCGGCAGCGAGGCTGGCGAGCAGGGTGGCTCTGGGGCCCGGTGCTGCGCCACGCGGCCGTGGCAAGTGGACGGGAAGAAACCCCGGGCCACGCCGCCCCGGGCCGCAACAAGTGAAGCGGGAGCCAATTTCCCGTCTTCTTGACGAGCAACGCCTGGCTCCTCTCCAGGCAGCTCCGCAGCACGCGGCCCAGCCGGCCCCAGCACCTGTCACATGAATAAATAAACCCACCTTGGAAACGCCGCGGCAGGCAGCTGCCAGAGGAGCTGTCATGTCGGAATCCACCTCGGCGCGTCTCTCGCTGCCCTGTTTAATTGGCTCCCCATATTGCTCATCACGCCGATCCCCGGCCCCCCTGCGGCGGCCCAGAATCCACCCCCCCTCAGCGCCCACGGTTCTTCTGTCGCCTCTGGCAGCGAAGGGCAGTTTACAGACACTCACATTCTGGCTCCTTCTCTGTGGGGCCATGGCCCGGCTGGGACTCTCACAAGCTTCCCCCCTGCAACTGTGCCCTCTAGTCCCCATTTCGGTGCCTCCCCTGGCCTGTCAGTCCCTGGAGAAGGCTGCGCTCAGTATCCCTGTGGGTTTGTTCCAGCGGCGGGTGCTGCTGAAAGCCGAGGAGGATTTCTTGGGGCTTGCAGGGCATAGCTGAGCTTTCAGACCCATGATTGGGACCCTTTGCACCCACAGCTCCCTAGCACCAATGTTCCCTCGAATGTTTTCCATCCATGTGTGGAATAAATTTTGCTAAGTGCACCCATGCACACACAGATGTGCACCACCCGTAGAAACACACGCTGCCAGCTGTGGGCACTCTGCTAAACAGCCGGGTGGCATTCGAATCTCTCCTGGGCAGCCACCCAAGTGCTCAGCTTACAAGGAACACTGCTTGGCACCTGCAAATTGTCAGCTGTGTTCATGGGACTAGCTGCATTGCAGGGGGCTCTCATGGACCCTGGACAGCTCTCCCCCCTCCCCTCACTGCCTCACACTCCTCCTGAGCACACGAGGCTTCTACAGGCATCACGGTGGGGCTTCCCTCCCAGGCTGGGGTGCAGGAGCCGGGGGAGGTGTGGTCTCGCAGAAGGGGCAGGGAAAGCCAAGGATGTGATGGGCTGTGTGTGAAACACCCGTGGGTTGTGCCGGTTCTTGCTCCCCCACCCGACCCTGACTCCACTGGGTGGCACCAGCTTTGAGCACACTCCATTTATTCTACACTTGTCCTGTTG